GAGATATGCCCAGTAGTGCTATGAAAAGGTCATAAATGGGCCTATTTTTAATTCCATAGACGTTGCACTAGTTCACATACCTAACAAGTATAGTTTCTGTTCTTCATATCCTCATTCTGACTATAATAAAATGGAATCCTAATAGAGTTTTAACTTATATATATATATTTATACTTACTTTTTTTGTGTGTGTTTCTATAAGTGGAACAATCAGTATCATTAATATTTTAAGGTTCAATGGGTAATTTATTCCTCTTTTATTGTGGCACTACTAGAGTTTGAACTTGGCACTTTGTATTTGTCAGGCAGTTGTTCTATCATTTGAGTTATATACCCTCAGCCCTTTATTGCTGTAGCTATTTTTCATGTACAGTTTCACTGTGTGCCTGGTGCTGGCTGTAGATTACTATTCCCCTACTTATGCCTCTTGCTTACTGCCCTTACGGGAACACTCCATCGTATTCAGTGTATTTCACATGGATTTCTATTGTTTTTGCCAATGTTGACCTTGAATCATGGTGCTCCTGATCTCTACCTCCTGAGTAATGGGAATTACAGTCATATAGATAATTCCTCTTAATTATGTGTAGAGGTAAATTTTATGTCAGTGATCTTTTTCTCAGAATAGTCTGTGGTTGAGTATACATGATAGCTCCCAACAGTAATCCTAACTACTCAGGAAACTGAGATCTGAGGATTGTTGTTTGAAGCCAGCCTGGTCAGGAAAGTCCACGAGACCCTTACCAATTAATCACTAGAAAGCTGGAAGTGGAGTTGTGGGTCAAGTAGTAGAGCACTAGTCTTGACCAAAAAAATCTCAGGGGCTATACTCAGACCCTGAGTTCAAGCTCTAGGACCAGCCTCCCCCAAACACGTACACACAGAATGTGCTTCATCTAAAAAATTATATTTTAATTAAGGAATTGCACAAAGGGTTTACAATTTGACATGTCAGTTCATGTGTACAATGCATTTTCATCACTATCTCCCCTTTCATTAGCCTCGTAGTGAAAGATGAGCTTTTCTGGGAAATTTTACCATTCATTATTGGGGCTACTGTCTGTATTATTATTTCTCTTAATTTAACCAGAATTAGAGAAATCAAATTTTCAATTAAGTTACATCAAGTAGGAATTATTCATATAAAGTAATGGAATGAGAAATTGACCATTATATGATTTTAATTGTTGTAAGAATGCCTAGAATTTGGCTTAGTAGAATGAAGCATTTGTCTAGGACCCAAGTCATTTGAACTGAAGCATTTAGATAAATCTAATTCTTGTTTAAGACAAAGTCTAGTTGAAATAATTAAGAAATGTTAATGATTAGGGTTAGTGTTAAAACATTTTATTGAAGTTGAGTTGAACAGGTCAGTAGAACTCATAGGAAGATGTGAAATTTGGTATGAGCCAAGTAGTAGTAATGGAATTTAGTGAGGTTCTGCTATGTATTATTCTTTAAATTAAAAATATCCCTGTATTATGGCTAATCTCTATACATATGTTCTTCCTATGGTTATAGTTAATGCTTTTATGCATTTGTTTTCTTCATGAATATAGACTATGGTACTGGCGATTATAACATATATGTGCACACATACATGTGTGTGTGTGTGTGTGTGTGTGTGTGTGTGTGTGTGTGTGTGTGTGTATGTATGTTGGTTGTGGGGCTTAAACTCAGGGCACTGTCCCTGTGCTTTTACACTCAAGGCTAGTACTCTAGAACTTTGAGCCACAGTGTCACTTCTGTTTTCTAGTGGTTAAGTGGAGGTAAGAGTCTCACGGGGGCTTTTTTGCCCGGGGTTGGTTTTGAACCATGATCCTTAGATCTCAGCCTCCTAAGTGGCTAGGATTTCAGATGTGAGCCACTGGTACCTGGCCGTTACATATATTTTAACCTGTCTATAAGTTTTAAATTTTTCTTTGTAACTAAAAAATAGTCTTAACTATATTTATATTTTCTCATTATCTTGCTAGAATGAGAAATAGACAATAATCAATAATTGGTAACTAGTAATGATGTTTCTGGTTTTTTTTTTAACCAAAAAAAATGAATAGCCTGACAAACAAGATATAGTGAGGTACACCAGTAATCTCAGTACTTGAGAAGTCGAGGCAGGTGGACTGTAACTTCACGGCCAGACTGTGCTAAACAGTGAATTCCAGGTCCGCCTTAGGCTACATAATGAGGTATGTCTCAAAAATATAATTAAATTGAAAAGCTAGAATTTATTTTAGTAAGCCTTAGGAACAGTTTTGTGTGCAAATGGTTTGGGTACATTCCGTAGAAGCACATTCAAATTTCCTTCTTTATAAGCATGTTCAACTGCAATGGCAAAAAGAACAAACTAGAAAAGAAGGAGATGAGGTGGGCAGCATAGTGTGCAGAAATGTGGAGTGTGTATTAGAAAACTAGCATTTAATTTTAAAAGATCCCTTTGTTTTAAAATCTTTAAGTTCAAATTGCTGAGAAAGCTCTTTAAATTACACATTGAGATCACCTAGCTACTGCCACTTGAATGCTAATAAAGGGTGGCAGGGGTGTGTTTAGTTTAAGAGTGAATGTGAGCAATGTTTGTGATGTAGAATACATTGATCCCTGAACTTTGCTTAGTATTTGTACCATTTGATGCTCTTTAATGTCAGGAAACATATGCTGTGCCCAGAATTTATGTACTTTGATGAACCATGAAATCAAACAAAATTGAAGAAAGAATAAATAATGTTGTATCAGCATAAATAACCAATACTGATTGAGAAATTGAGAACTTAGTGTATCTGAGACACTGCACTTTATCTTGCATTGCTAAGTAGCCCATCCTTGCAAACACTTAGAGTGAAAAAGTCACAGGGCTTTATGTGAGGACTTTGACCCTGATTTCTCTGCTCTTTGTTGGGAATTTCTTCTCTGAGTTGTGGTACTTAGTCCTGGAAATATAGTCCTTAGGTTATTGGAGTTTGAGCCTACACCCTGGAATAATGTAAGTCTGTTTTCATCTCCTATCACTGCCAAGTACCAGCTAGACATCTGTGGGTATGTTTCCTAATCGTTGCAGACTTTATTTTCTAGTCTATAAAATGGGGTTTACTTCGTTGCATGATAGGATGGCTGTTAGATTTATATGAGATGTTTAGTATAGTGCCTGGCACACAGTAAGCACTCAATAAATCATTGCTATTATTATTATTATAATACCTTAATAATCATTATGTAAATGGAAAATGATCATTTATTCCTGTCTTGGCAAAATTTTAATGTTTAAATTTCCTCAAAATAAGGTGTGCATGATGGTTTTTAAGAGGACTAAGAAATGACTTTTAATACTTTTCTATTTGCTGACGAGGGACACCTAAATAGTGATTCATTTATTACTATTACAGCTTGGCCTGCAGTGATTCTTTATATTTATGTAATGTGATTATCATTAGATGACATTTATTTATGTGGTAATGGCTTTTGACACGTATATTCATATTCTCTAGAAAGTATTGTTGAAAGATAATTAAATCACATGTCCCAGTCTATAGGGTATATTTAATTGCTTAATATTCTCTTTAAGTCTCCAGCCTTAATAAATTAGAAATCTTCTCAGACTCTTATTCTGCTTCGTAGGGACCCTGAATGTAAGACTTCCTGTATAGTCACCTAAAATACTTGCCAAGAGTGCCATTCTTAGTTCCTGCCAACCTCATTTCCTGACATACCATATAACATGGCATTTTTCCCCTATTATTGGGCTTCAAAATGTCTTTGAATGTGAATACCAGACTTGACTATACTTAAGTTTACCATATTTGACATTTAACATCAAAAGTAAGCCTTGGCAAAACTAAGGCTTTCCGATTGCATCCAACCTGACTGTTGATTTGTTTTTTGTTGTACTGTGGTTTGTACTCAGAGTTTTGTGCTTGCTATGCAGATGCTCTACCATTTGAACCATCTTGTGAGCTCCCAACTCTTATTTGTTTAAAAATAAAGTCACGGAAACACGACCATCTCCATTCTTCAACTTATCACACTGCAACAGAGAAATATAGCCTAAAAGCCTAAAATATTTAGGTTAATCCTTTATGTAACATGTTTTCTCAATTTGGTCTAAAGCCAAGAAGTTCTAGCTTAGATACCGATTTTTCTTTTACTTCCTCAGAAAGGCCAAGAAGACCATCTCAGAGAAGTTCTAATCCATTCAAACTTCTTGATTTGGCTCAAATTTCCTTCCTTCCTTTGCTACCTAATAATGCCCTTCCCCTGTTGCTTTCTACAATCATAACAACTAGTCATATATCTATCTTTTAATGTAGGCCCTAATATATGAGACTTTTGATATAGCCATCAAACATTTCAGATCAAACCTTTTCTTTGTTTAAGGTCCCTTAGTGCTTCTAAGCTCCATAGCTTCACAATATCCCTAATTACCAAGTATTTTCCATATAACAACACCCATGTCTTTCAGTTTCTGGCCTGCAGCATCTTCACTGCTTGGATTTTGGAATCTCCCTAGTATTAAGTTTATTAAGTATTATAATATTTCCATCAATATTTCAGGTCAACATTTCCAGGTCCAGATTTCTTAGTCTTCTATAGTCACAATCTTCCAATATTTCCTGTATGTAGTGTGTCTGGAGTCCATATATGTAGTGCTTCAGTGTCCAAGTCTAGCTTTTCTAATATCTTCTACTGCTTATATCATTACTTTCCCTATCTCTTCTTCTCTCTTAAATCCTAGTTTACAAGTGTCTGTTTATTACTACTCTTTCAATATTCCTAAGAACTTTAGCTTCTAACATTTAGATAGTTTTATGTCCCCAGTATTTGAGTAACAATGTCTCTTAACATCCAGATGTCTTTATATCTAAATCCCAGCATTCTTGTCTTCGAGCATCATTTAAATGTAATTCTTGAAATCATATGTTTTGATGAGTATATTAGTATCTAGGTTTTCCTTTGTCTCCTAGTCTATGCCTTCTATTTTTAAGACTTTTAGATGTCCCAGTCCTCTACTACCCATATCCAGCAGTGTTTAAGCAGTTCCAGGGTATAGAAGTTAACATGTCTCTAATAGCCACGATTTCCAGTGTCTGCCTTTCAGTATGCATTGTCATAATATTCAGGGCCTCCAAAATCTGCAGTAACAATAACCACTGTCCCAAGTACAAGGTTTTCAATATCTCCAACATCCTGTGCTTCCAATGTTTCCAATGTCCAGGGTTTCCAATGGCGCCAGTGTCAAAGTCTTCCAACATCTCCAGGTCTTCCGGCAACCGCAAGTCTTCCAATAACCTCAAGGTCTTCCAGAAATCCATGTCTTCCAGAAAATCTACATCTTCCAGATAATCCACGTCTTCCTGCAATGATAAGTCTTCCACAAAATCCAGCTCTTCCAGGAGAATCCACGTCTTCCAGAAAAATCCATGTCTTCCAAAAATTTCAAGGTCTTCCAGCAAGTTCAAGGTCTTCCAGCCAATCTCCATCTTCCGGGAAAATCTGTGTCTTCCATGAAATCCTAGTCTTCCGATCAATCCAGGTCTTCCAGAAAAATCCCAAGTCTTCCAGTTGATCACCGTCTTCCAGCAAGAAATCCAGGTCTTCCAGTGAGTCCACGTCTTCCAGAAAAATCCATGTCTTCCAGCCAATCCAAGTCTTCCAGAAAAAAATCCAGGTCTTCCAGCAAATCTATGTCTTCCACTCAATCCAAGTCTTCCAATAAAGCCACGTCTTCCAGAAAATCCCTGTCTTCCGATAACCTACAGGTCTTCCAGCCAATGTATGTCTTCCTGAAGAGTTATATCTTCCAGAAAATCAGTGTCTTCCAAACAATCCAGATCTTCCGGACAATTCGGGTCTTCCTGAAAATCCACGTCTTCCATGAAAGACAGGTCTTCCAGCCAGTCTACGTCTTCCGATGACCTCCAAGTCTTCCAGATGATCCATGTCTTCCAGAAAACCCTTGTCTTCCATCAAATCCATAGCTTCCAGAAAAATCCATGTCTTCCAGATAATCCACGTCTTCCAGCTAATCCACAGCTTCCAGAAAATCCATGTCTTCCAGAAAATCCATATCTTCCAGAAATTCCCTGTCTTCCAGAAAAATCTGTCTTCCAACTAAGTCATCCATGTCTTCCAACAAGTCGATGTCTTCCTACACCTCCAGGGCTTCCAGCATCTCCAGGGCTTCCAGCATTTGCTTGTCTTCCACGCATCTCCGTGTCTTTCAACATCTTCAAGTCTTCCTTCAACTACCCAGTCTTCCATCAGCGGGCTCAATATCCACGTCTTCCTACTTCTCCAGTGTACCAGTCTTCGGACATTCAGGTTTTCCTGTGTCTGCAATATCCAGGTATTCTAACATGCTTTACAATCTCTTTCAGCTTTTCCCCAGGTTAAAGAGTTTTCAAATCTAGTCTTCCTCATTCAGGCTTTCCTATGTTCAGTTCCTCAACAGTCAGATAACCAAACTCAAGTGTGACTTCCTGTAGTGGAATTAGTTTCAAGTATGCAAGCAAGGCATTTCTTTTTATAGGCTAGAATTAAGGAACCAAGTATTCTGCAGTTTATTTTTCTTGATATTGGGACATATATATTTATTCTCTACAATTGTTAAGGTAATGTTCAGAAGAAAATTTCACAGAATCACTGCAGTAAACTTTACTACTTTGCTAATGCTAGTGCAAGGGAAATTTTAATTTTAGTGTGAAAATTTAATTTTTAGATTGTAGTTTTAGATAAAATTATCATAGAATATGTTTGTCCATTTTTAATAACATCAAATTTGGTGTGGTATTATTTGAAATAATAATAATAATAACAACAGCAACAACAATAACAACAGCAACCATACATAGCATTTCTGTTTCCAAGCACTGTTCTAATGTCCTTACATGCATTAATTCATTTGATCTTCACAAAAAACCTTTTTAGGGATATATTATGAGATCTGAGAATCACAATTCAAAGCCACCTCAGGAAGATAAATCTGATAAGTTCTTGTCTCCAATTAACCAGAAAAAACCAGAAGTGGAAGTGTGGCTCAAGTGGGTCAATTCCAGCCTTGAGAAAAACCTAAGCAAGAATATGAGGCCCTGAGTTCAAGGTCCAGTACCAGCACAAACAAAGAAAAGTAAGATGAGAACTATAGGATCTAAAGTTTGATTATTCACACAGTGTGTAGAATATTGTAAAATCTTAAATATAAATGGGCTTCCTTAATCCTGCCACTGTCAGAACCCATTTGTAGTAACAGTTTATTAACACATGTCAACCAGTTATTCCCATCCCCTTGCTCATATATTGGGATGTAGGTACAGTTTCTGAAAACTGTTTTCCATTGTAATAGGATGGATATAAGAAAAAACTTGCCTCAAGTACTCTTTGCTTTAGATGCATATTCATAGCTTCATACCTTGAATATTAGTATGTGAAAGTCAACTTTTCATCCCTTATCACTGACCATTCTACTTTTTGAACCTTATTATCCAGACCGCTTACTATTAGTTTGCTTCTGACACTCAAGATCCACCTGCTTCTTCAAATATCACTGACCTCCCGGGTTCCTGATCTCTACTTTGTGTCCAACTAATGGTAACTACCACTCCTTAAATCCCAGCATGCTGACTTAGAGAACTAACTGCTTGGTTCTCCAAGTCTCAACGCTCTTCATCAGGCACTTTGCAGCGATGTTGCTACCCATGCCTCTGGCTGGTGATATGAACAACATGAAAGCCACAAAGTCAAAGTATAGTTAGGCAAATGACCTCTAAAAAATTTAGACTCATCTACATAGCAGTAAAAGGAACATCAATAATAACAATTAAAATAGAAATACCTTCTGAATTACAATTTATAAAGTGCTGTCACTTCACTTACTCATCTATCAATCCATTCACCAAATATTTATTGAGTGCCAACTTTGTGTGCCAGACATGTCTTAATGGAGTTTTAAGATCAGTTGTGGGAGGTATTTATAGGAAATGCAAAAGTAATCATCAATTGTTTATTGGTACGCTAAGGCCACGAAGGAAAAGTAAGTATATTGATGCTGTGACAGTTTGGAAAATGAAGAAAGCATTCCTGAGAAGTAACATTCATGTTGATTCTGGAGAATCTAGTTCTTTGTTTGGCTGTCAGAGTAACCTTGTGACTTAGCTAAGAACAGTAATAATAAAGACCATGACATCTGGGCTGGCAAGGTGGCTCAGTGGTAGATTTCTTGCTATGCATGAAGCCCTGGGTTCAATTCCTCAGTAACACATAAGCAGAAAAAGCTGGAAGTGGCGCTGTGGCTCAAGTGGTAGAGTGCTAGCCTTGAGCTGAAGAGCTGAGGGACAGCACCCAGGCCCACAGTTCAGGCCCCACGACTGGCAAAAAAAAAGACATCTAGTTGTTTTATCAAATTTTTATAAACATTTACTTAGTGTTAAGTAGTTGTACAGAGGGGTTTCAATTCAACATATCAGTTGATGTGTGCAATGTGTTGTTTTGACCTCTGTTTAAATCCCTTCTACTCAACCCTGCCTTAATCAAGGAATATATAATGCTTTGACTCTTTGATTTATTATTTTCACATTGGAAAATTTATCCAAGCAAAGTATTTAAAATGTGGAAAATACATGCTGAGCAAAGCAATACAAACCGGTAATCCTAGCACTTGGCTGAGTCAGGAGAATTGGAATTTAAGGCTAGTCTAAGGTTCATAGTGAAAGCTTGTCTCAAAGAAAATATTTAAAAATGGTTCTCACATATTTTATTTGGTATAATGAAAACCAGAAAAACCTTACAGTCTAGCTTTATAGAATGATTAAGTAATTGGTGAAAACCAGAAAAACCTAGCTAGGCTAGCTTTTAGATAATGATTAAGTAAATGAGCTATTTATGTATAATATTCTGCCATTAAGATATTTATGGAGTACGCATTGCAAAATACTAAGAGAAAAATAATCATATAAAGTGTGACTGCAGCTATTTTAGAGTATGTAATCAGGGACAAATGACTAGAAATAAACACATTGTGAACTAATTATGCTTATAAATATTGAGCAAGATTATGGTGATTTTGTTTTCTTCTTTGTATTCTTGTTTTTCCCCCAAAGTTGTTATAATGTGAAGGTATCTTCTGTCAGGAAAAGTATTTAAGCAATTATACACAAGTGTATTATTTATTCATCTTTTTACTGTTTTATTGTTGAAAAATACCTGAAAATGTAAGTAAAACAAAGTGGAAAACTCAAATTCTCAATCATAATACACAGAGAACATCATTATTAAGATTTTGATGTATGTCCTTTCAGGCTTTCTGACAAGTGTGCTTATTTTCTAACTCTCAGTAAATACATCTATTTTATAATCTTTGGATATAATTTCTTTACTACACATTTTGGTGGGTACTAAGTTTGTTCCAATATTTAGTCCTATGAAAACCTGGTGAAATGACTATATGTTATGCAAATTGTATCGAAAATAAACTATATCACACTACATGGTGGTTTATCACATATTTCTGTGCATATTGGTTCATGTATTACCTACGATCAATAAGTAAAAGGAAAGTTATTGAACCACAGGGCATATAGATCATAATGCTTACCACAAAAATATTTACAAGCAATCAAGATATACAAGAGTCATAAATGCTTAAAAAATTACTTGTAGAAAGTAGGCAGGCACCAATGGCTCACACTTAGAACCCAAGCTACTCAGAAGATCGAGATTAGGAGGACTGAGATTTGATGAAAAGTCCATGAGACTTCATCTCCAAATAACCAGCAACAGGGCTGGGCTTGGAGATATGAATCAAGTGGCAGAGTGCCATCAGTGAGCAAGAAAGCTGAGTGAGAATGTGAGGCCCTGAGTATAAGTCTTGATACAAATAAATAAATAAATAAATAAATCAGGACAGTTAAAAAATCCCCCCAAATAGATAAATTTTTATTTATTTGTTTGTGTATAGCCAGTCCTGGAGCTTGAACTCAGGGCCTGGGCACTGTCCCTGAGGTTCTTTTGCTAAAGGCTAGCACTCTACCAATTGAGCCACAGCACCACATCTGACTTTTTCTGTGTATGTGATACTGAGGAATCGAACCCAGGACTCCATGCATGCAAGGCAGGCACTCTACCACTAAGCCACCTTCCCAGTTCGATAAATTTTGATGTACTTACACTATGGGATATTTTTAACAGTAACATAAATGTACTAGACTTTACATATAATATTATGTGAAGATTTAACTTTTAGAATGTTAAGGAAGATGCTGTGTTCCCAAAGACTACATAGAATGGTCTGTTTTATTCAAAACAAAGAAAACTAGACACTATATTTTAAGCATACAAGTCTATGACATATAATAATTTATTTTAAAAAGACATATCAATAAAAATTTAGGATTATGGTCATAACATAGAGGAAAGCCAGTCAGAATACTGACAGACCATATCAATGGTTATCAACTGTTGTTAGTATCCTAGTGCTGAAGTCTGT